AGACGACGATGCAACGCACGTTCTCTCGGTCGTTGGCAGCTCCAAGTTGACCACGTTCAGCTGTTTTGTACTAGGACGCTATAGCGTTGGTTTCCAGTCGGATATCGTACGGCAGACGTGAAAGAGGTGAGCTATCACTCATATTCGATGATGACTTTATACATATTTGACGCGGATCAACGAATTGTGTGACTGCGTCGTTCCTGGCCATAATGTGGCCAGGTAAACGCCATGTCGATGTTCTATCGTTCGTCGATTGATGTCAAGACTGCGAGTTTAGTCGTCGAAACCAACGCGCCATTGTTGTCGTTGAAGTAGGTCGACTAAAACAATACCATTTTCGATGCTCTACCATTAGGGAAAAAGAAACAGGTGTTGCAACACATGTTGCTGCACAACCCCGTGCAAACGACTAGGATGTCAGTGCTATACTCGCCCCTGATTCCCTCCACTCTTTCCATTCAATGGCTGGGAACAGTAAGTGGGCCTAACCGGCGACGACAGACAGCGAGCTCAATCTATATTCATGGGTCTCGCAAAGGTGGGGATTCTTGCAAGCGGCGGCGAGACATGCCCCGCTCTGTCGCTGCACTGACCACTACCGTCTTCTTCGAGCAAGTGACCGACAAAGACCCAGCGACCTCAACTCTCGGCTCGTTGCCCCAACAGAGCTACATTTTGGGTCGCGTAGCTAACGTCGTTGTTGTACACTTTACACTCCATCATCTTCCATGGTAGGGCGACCAAATCGCTTCCATAGCACTTGTAGACGCTTATTAGCTTGCGGCGTCGCCATCTTTCCCATAGCAATTGCCATTTTCCCCATAGTACAATGCACTAATACCCCAAGATCCTTTGCGTAGCGCCGTGCCGAGTGTATGTCAGTGTGCAGTACAGTATTGCGGGAGCCTTACACCAAGACAAGCATGACCGTGGAAGATGATCTGCCAAGGTTGTAGATCCGTGGCAATACTAGTAACAAGCTTATCTACTGGACCCTGAGCTCCGGTCAACCTGAAGCCACTCGACTCGCCGAGCGTTTACGCACATGTCGGGCTGACGGTAAACCGAGCCGTCTCTACGAGCGCACTGCAAGTTTGTATGCGCCAGTTGTGTATCCGGATCCGGATAATCGAACCGACCAGTTTCTTGTCACATTGACACTGGCGAGACCATGGTAGCAAGCTCTGGCGCGCTGCTGCTGCTGGCCGCTCTTGCTGCACCTGCGTATGCGCAGGTACCGACGGCGAAGCTCCCGACGACCCTCTCCAAGTGCAAGTACTCGAACGCCAACACGTGCGTGGACAACCCGCAGACCAACCCAGTCGCGACCACGCTCGGCCTCCCAGCCTTTAGCCGAGGCCCGGGCACGTGCTCCATGATGGGCGTCGCCTCGATTCCGGGCCTGAGCGCGAGCGCGACGCGGCCTGCGCTCTACACGCCCACGACGGCCATCGTAATCCGCTGCGCCTCCGCGCCGGGTGCTCACTCTTTGCATCGTAGGACGCGTACGCCAAGAGCGGGCTCCGAAACAAGTTTTCCGCGTGGAACGCGACCAACCAAGCCGCCTTCCAGCTCGACTGTCCGCTCTTCTACCAAGACCAGATCCTCAGCGGCAAGCAAGACTACGTACGTCCGCTTGACGAGGTGTTGGCATCTCACGCGCCTTGTAGCTCTGCTGCACGGAGGACCAGTATGTGGTCATGCAGACGCAGTACCGGATGATCAGCGGTCTCTGCGAAACCTCCAAGCGTGTGCTCCAGAACGTCTGGTGCAGCTACGCGTGCCACCCGAACCAAGCACTCTTTATCAACGTCGACCAGGTTCACTACTACCCGTCGGCGACCGACCCGACGACGTCGTACCCGGCGATCGAAGAGGTCACCTACTATGTCGGCGACAACTGGGCGCGCGACGTTTACGACTACAGCAAGGCCGACCTCATCGCCAAAGTGCTTTGCCAGCCCCAAGCCGGCTGCTCGTCGGGCCTCGGGCTCCTCAACCGCATGGGCCAGTACCAGCTCAACGGCATTGGGTCGCCCAACCAAGTCAACTTTGTCGCAGCATCGACGCTGCCATTGGTACGCGGATCGATCCCGTGCGACTGCATTTTTATTTATTTTTGTTTTTTCGTTGTTGCTAGGCGGACGTGTGCCCGTGTACCCGTGCGACGTCGAATGCCACGGTCGCGAATGCCTCTTGTATCTTGCCGCTTGACCAAGTGCTGCCGACGTGCGTCGGCGTCTGCGGCTCGGTCTGCGACGCGCCAAGTCCCGCGCTTCCCTACACAGCGAGTCGGCTACTCGAGTATGTCTCAGCCCTACATTAATCCAACTCGACTAGGCTGCGTTGGTGCAACGACAACGGGCAACCGCAACAACTCGGCCGGCAACGGCACGTCGTCGATTTGGGCGCCGCTCTGGGCGAGCATGGAGGACAACATCAAGCCCAGCGACTATACAAGCCTCAACACGGCGCTTATGATCGTGATTGCTCTCCTTGTACGACACGTTGCTGCCGCCCAAACTCACTCGGTTCGTAGATCGTATTTGTGCTGAGTGGCGGCTGGTATCTCCACCGACTGGCGCTTTTGGAGGAGAAGGAAGACGAGCCGAGTGCGACAGCGGCTCCGGTCAACGCCAGTCGCGTCAATACGCTGGCCACGCATCTCATGCGGCAGTGGGCACTCTTTGTATGTCGCCGCCCGTACCACGTGCTCACGGTGGTCCTCGCGCTCGCCGCGTTTTGCAGCGCTGGACTGCACAAGACGGTGATCCAGACCGACCCGATCAAGCTCTGGGTGGCCGAGTCGAGCCGCGCGTACAAGGAGCGCGATCGCTTTGGCCAGCTCTTTATGCCGTTTTACCGCACGGAGCAGGTCATTTTGACTCCGAAAGACGGCGGACCGATTGGCCGCGTGGACGTTCTCCGCGCCGCGCTGCAGATCCAAGACCAAATCAAGCAGCTCCACGTGCCGTTCAATGGCCGGCGTACGTACCGTGTTTTTGGTGTATGGAAAACTTGAAAGATTGATTCATATATTTGCGATGTAGAGATTGGCGTCGAAGACATTTGCTGGCGCGCGACCGGCACGGGCTGCACGATCAACGCGATCACGCAGTACTTCCAGAACGACTTGGCGACTTTTGAGATCTACGCGTCGAACGGCATGGCGCTCGACCACTTTCAAAACTGTCTCTTCTCGCCGTCGTACGCAGACGTGGCGTCGTGCCAAAAGCTCGCTGCCAAGAACGTGGTCCTGCCCGCCAGCATGAGCGGTACCTTGCGTCGGCGTCTCTCCTTGTTCTTTGACCATGTTTTGATGCGTAGACTGCCCGTGTCTCTCTGCGTACGGCGCCCCCATGGACATGTACACGACGGTGCTTGGCGGCACGCCGCCCAACGCGACCAACAATGCCAATCTGTACATCAACTCGACGACGCTGCTCTCGACGATCCTTGCCTACAACTACTATGACGATGCGCAAAACGCGCCGGCGGTCGCGTGGGAGCGGGGTTACATTGACCTTCTCCAGTCCCTTGCGTCGACGAACGGGGTGTTTGACGTCGCGTTCTCGGCGGAAACGTCGATTGCCGATGAAATTGCAGTCGCCAGCAAGAGCGACGTGACGCCCGCGCTTCTCAGCTACTGCCTCATGATCCTCTACGTGACGCTTGGCATCAACCGCTGGAAGATGTCGAGTCTGCGCCAGAGCTGGCGCGAAGCCAAGCTCACGCTCGGGTTTTGCGGCATCTTGCTCATCTTGCTCGCAGTCGTCTCGACGATCGGACTCTTTTCGTGGACCGGCGCCGCCGTGCAGATTGTCATTATGGAAGTCGTGCCGTTTCTGACGCTGGCCATTGGCGTCGACAATATCTTTTTGATGCTCCACGAGATCCGGCGGGTCCAAGACGACGCGACCCGCCACGGCCAGCCGCTTGTCGTCGACGACATCATTGCCAGTGCTGTGGCATCGATTGGCCCGAGCATTGGGATGGCGTCGATCATCGAAGCGATCGCGTTTGTCTTTGGCTGCATTAGCCCGATGCCGGCGGTGTTGTGGTTTGCCGCCTTCTCGGCCGCTGCGGTGGCCATCAACTTTGTGTTTCAAATGACGCTCTTCTTGTCGCTGGTCGTGCTCGACAAGCGGCGCGAGCTCGCTCAACTCGCCCCGGTCATGGACCTCGCCGAACGCATCGACATTGGCGACCTTCAGATTGTGACTCTGACGTGGATCCAGCGCGTCGTTGGTGCGTACGCCGACGTTTTGGCCAAGCCTTTGGTCAAAGCGATCGTCCTATGTGTCTTTATGACGGCAACCGGTCTCTCGATCTACTCGGTCGAGTCGCTCGAGCAAGGACTCGACAATGCCGATGCAATGCCCTCGAAATCGTACCTCATCACGTACTTCGACACGATCAACGTGGCGCTGGAAACGGGACCACCCATCTTTTACATTGTCGAGAGTGGCTACAAGGGCAACCCCGTGTTTGACTACGCCAACATGTCGACCGTGCCCGCGTTTTGCACGTCGAAAGCGTTTTGCAGCCCATTTTCCGTGCCCAACGTCGTCTCGGCGCTCGGCAACTCGGGCGTCTCGACCATCACGCACACGAGCCCCGGCGTCGTGCACTCTTGGATGGACGACTTTTGGCCATTTGTGGGCGCGCAGTCGGCGTGCTGCCGCGTCGACAAGACCTCGGGCAACTACCTCCCGCTCAACGCGTCGGATGCAGCGTACATGGCAGCGCGCGACGCGGCCGACACGTGTTTTCCGCTCACGTCGACCGCGCCACCGGTACCGGCGTCGAGCTTTATGTCGCTCTTTCGCATCTTTGCCTCGGCGAATGCCGGCCCGCTCTGCTCGCACGGCGGCGGTTCGATCTACCGCGGCCAGTTTAGCATTGACGAGCACCCGATCCCGGTGCTGAGTGCGACGTCGGCGGGGCTGCCGCTTAGCAACCCGAACGCAGGCAAGGCGGTGACAGCGGCGTCGTACATGGCGATTTCGACGGCCAACCCGACCCAAGGCGACTACATTGCGAGCTACAAGCAAGCACGGCATGCGGCGCAGTATATGAGCGACAAGTCGGGCGTCCACGTGTGGGCCTACTCGATTTTCTTTTGCTTTTTCGACCAGTACCTCACGATCGTCCACGACACGCTTCTCCTCGTCGGCCTCGTCTTGATTGCAGTCTTTGTACTGCATGTGCTGTGCTTTGGCGCGTTCTGGACGCCATTTTTGGTGACGCTGACGATCGCCAACCTCTGCGTCTGCGTCGCGGGCCTCATGGAGCCGATTGGCATCCTCTTGAACGGGCTCAGTCTGGTCAACCTCATCATCGCCGGTGGCATCTCGGTCGAGTTTTGCTCGCACCTCGCGCGGTCGTTCCATTTTGGAAAAGCAACGAGCGGCAATGCGCGCATGAAGGAAGCGCTGCGGCATGTGATGGCGTCCGTCATCTTTGGCATTACGATCACCAAGATTGTGGGCTTGAGCGCGCTCACGCTGGCCGACTCGCGCATCTTTCAAAAGTACTACTTTCGCATGTACCTCACGATCGTGCTCTGCGGGATCCTCCACGGCATGGTGCTCTTGCCCGTGCTCCTCAGTCTCTCGGTCGACCTCCCGCGGCTCTGGACGAAGCGTCGCGCGCCCATCTCGATCCAACCGTAGCGCGTTGATACCTTGATACTTTGGGTCGAAACAAGGATGCAGTGAAATCGACCAACGTTTTTGACGTGCTAGCATTTGCAGTGTGGAAACGCCGCTAACGTTGCAAGGCGTCCTGGACGAGCGCCAGGACGCCCGCATGCCCACTGGTCACAGCGGCCGACAGCACCGACTCGCCAGCCTACATATACCATCGTCGTCCAAATTCAACGCCGGACGACGTACTTGAGTGCACTTGTGGACGTCAGCCCCGGCCTCGAGCAAGGTGGCCACCACATCGGGATGACGGCGGAGCGCAGCGTCGTAGAGAGGCGAGATGCCAGCCTACGTAGCCACGAGTCGTGTTGCAACTCTATGCACACTATGTACGGTGCAGCAGTGGTTCACATCAGCCGACGCTGCAATGAGGCGGGTGACGACACCGTTATGGCCGTACCAGGCAGCGATCGCCAGCGATGTATCGCCGTCCTACGGAAACCGTGGGCGGCCCTCTCGTCATCGACAGCAGCGTACGCTTGAGCACATGTCGACGGTGGCGTCTGCAGCGAGTAGCACGTCGACAAGCGCCTCGTTGTTGTTCCGGGCGGCGCAGTACAGCGCCGAGCGACCACTCTACAACTGACACGATGAGCTTTTTCGGCAGGAGCATGACGCTGATGACAGGAAGCGCGACGGCGTCGACGTTGGCACCGGCGTCGATGAGCAGCGCAAGGACGGAGGGCTGCACGCCCCGGGAGGCCGCGTACACCAGGATCGGTATAGAGTTCTATGGGAATCGCGTGTCGGGGCCCACTCACACAAGGAACGACATACCCGAATGCTCGTGTTGGCATCGGCGCCAGCGCCAAGAAAGAGCGAGACGAGGTCGGGACGGTCCTGATGCACCGCGAGCTCGAAGGGCGTCATATTGGCTGCCGATGATCGGGACGTCTGCGTCATCACGCTTGGGTCCGCAGCCACGAGCAGCGCCACAATCGGGACGTGGCCCAACAGCATCGCTAGCATCGTCATGGAAACCCCATCCTACAATGTGTTGAGTGCACGGATGAGCGAGCATCGTCCGACATGGGTCGCATGCGGGTCGGCCCCCGCGTCTAAGAGCACTCGCACGCAGTCTTCGCTGCCGCGTTTCACCGCAGCAAGCAGCGGTGCGCCACCTCGCTACAGATATAAAACGCAGGATTGTCAGCGCCAAACGCGCCTCAAGAGCAAATCGTACGCCAGTGGTGGCGTTCGGAGAGACCCCGGCCGCCAAGAGCGTAGCCACCTCGGCCACGTCGCCGTTGGCCGCGGCTGTTGTCAGTGGAGACGGCTCCTATTGATGGTGCGTAAGGCGATAGCGCATTCGAATCGGGTCGTACGGGCGTGAAGAGCCCGGCCGCAGTAATCGCCGAGACGGCAGCGGCCGTCACCACGGCCGTCTGCGTGACGAGGCGCAAATACGACGAGGTGCGTTGCGTGGCAGCGTGTGTCGAGGCGGCGCGCCAGCCAAGAGCGCGTCGACCGAGCTGCGCGAGACGTCGCTGTGTCATGAGCATGGTGGCGCGTTCGCGGGGCTTCAAAGTGACGACGGGCAACAACACTTCAACCCGTCACACACATTACCACAACCCTGACGGGTTGTAGACACATATCCGGATTGCATCCGGATACGTGCAGCTCAGGAGGCGTCGTCTGAACACGCCAAGCCATGATTGACGGTCCTCACCTTGAACCAAGAGTACATAATTATCATATGATATTTATGTACTCTTGCCTTGAACGTACTAGTACTTGATGATACCTTTGTGGGCTACCGGCCGTCGCAGCGACTAGTGTACTGAGGGTTAGTCCATTGTTTTGTTGCCCTGGATTGGATCCTGAACCCTAACTGCGCATGCTGGCGACTCGTACGACCGAGTATCCTCGATACAAGTTGTCATTTCAAATGTGTCTAGCATGGAACAAAATAGAACGGTTTCGAAATTTGTACGAGCTGCTAGTTGAAAGCAAACTGCGCTGCGAGCGGCACATGGTCCGAGCCACAGATTGGCAACGTAGCTCAGCAACGGCAGAGATTTTCAATGGCTGTGCTATCGTGCATCATGACCCCGTTCACAGTCGTAAACGCGGGCTCTTTGCTAGAGTCGTCCGTCGCGTAGTTCGCACTGGTCCGGTATCCATTGCGGCGTCCAAAACGTATCGTAGAAATCCACCTTCTAAACACAAGTTTATCGAGTGTTCCACAACAAAGTAGCGACGAATCGAGGCATTATTCAACGAATTTTGGTTGTTCCACACAGGACACTGTTGTGATCTTCGACATCTGGCAGAAAATGAAGCTACTCGGCGGCAACTCGATCGGTCGACTCGACGGCCGGCAGCGCCGACTGATGGTGCCACATGGACGCATACGCTACCATAGTAGATCCTTAGCCCATACACAATAGTGTCTAGCAAACGTACCGCCTTGCTTTTGCATCAGCACGTCGTGCGCACCAACTTCAACCACTTGGCCGCGTTCGAGGACAACGATTTGCTCGGCGTGCTGGATCGTCGAGAGGCGGTGCGCAATCACGAGCTAGCACCAACACTAGTGTCTCTCGAGACAACTACAAAAGCACGTACAGTCGTTCGGTCGGCGCAAATCTCGAGCAGCGACTGGTAAATGCTGCGCTCCGTTCGCGTGTCGAGTGCTGACGTCGCTTCGTCGAGGATCATGACGCGCGGGTTCTTGAGAATTGCCCGCGCTATCGCAACGCGCTGTTTCTCGCCACCCGAGAGCTTGAGCCCGCGCTCGCCGACCTAAGTATGGGCAAACCCTAACTCATTTCGCCAACGAGAGCCAATGTATGTACGCGGGTCTGGAAGCCCAAGGGCAACGTCATCACGAAATCGTAGAGCTTGGCCGACTTGGCTGCTTCAAGAACGTCGGCTTCGGTCGCGTCGTGACGGCCATATTGAATCTAGTCGGATACGAGTCGATAGGAGCTTTGACAATAATGTACATTGTAGAAGATGGTGTCGTTGAACATGACGGCGTCTTGGGGCACGATACCGATCGCTTGACGCAATGACGCCTGCGTCACCTTGGCCACGTCTTGTCCGTCAATCAAAATACGTCCGGACGTCACGTCGTAAAAGCGAAAGAGCAGTCGACTCAGCGTGCTCTTGCCCGCGCCCGTCGCGCCCACGACCGCGAGCGTGTGCCCCGGGGCAATCGTCAGATTGATGTCCTTGAGACCGTTCGCATATGGCTGTCCGGGGTACGAGAACCCCACGTGCTCGAACGTCACGGCGCTTTGGTGGGGCGCCAGGACCAGTGCCTATCATAGACGCGGTCACTACTAAATTTGACAAAACAAGTCTTTTATACCTTGGCCCCGGGCATGTCCTGGATGTCGGGTTCCACGAGGAGAATCTCGACCAAGTTGGACATGTCGACAATTGACTGCATGATGGTGTTATAGATCGCACCGAGCGAGTCGAGGGGCTTGAAGATCTGGGTGACGTAGCTGCCGACGGCCACGAAATCGCCGACGGTAAGTGTTCCTAGGGTTCGGTTTCGTATAGGGGTAGGGGTGGTCTCGAAATCGTACCTTGCTTGATCTTGGCGGCGGCAATGAGAAGGCAAAGCAACAAGCAAATGCCTTGGATGAGCTGCTGCGCCACGTTGATCGAGTTGGTAAGGCCTCGCGTTAAGAACGCCGACTGCTGGAAGGACGCAATGCTGCCCAGGTACCTAAATGTCCAAAATAGCTAAAATGTATCGAAAATACGTCGAAATCTTGTCAAATCGTACCGGTCGCACTCGTACTGCTCCGAGCAAAAGTACTTGACCGTCTCAAAGTTGGTGAGACTGTCGACGGCCTTTTCGTTGGCATCGTTGTCGTGCTTGTTGCTGGTCTTTTTAAACCGGAGGCGGACTCGAGTGCCGAGGACCGTCACCGTGACATAGACGACCACGCTCACCTACACGCTCTTGAGCTTTTCGCTGTAAAAAATACGTGCAATGTACCCCAATGACCAGCGTCAGGAGCTGCTCGTGGAACGCGAAGAAGAAAATACCGCCGACCGCAATCACCTCGAGGATCGTGGGTACTAGGCGGAAGAAGAGCACGTTCACGACCGAGTCGGTGCTGTCGATGCCACGGTCCAGCACCCGCATGACCTTGCCCGTCTTCTTGGTCAAATGAAAGTGCATCGACATGGCATGCAAATGCGTAAAGACCTTGGCCGACACCTCCTTGTACGCGCTTTGCATCACGCGCAGGTAGAGGAACGTCTGCAGCTGCTTGGAGCTGTTGGAGAGGAAGAGGAACCCGACGTACGTCGCAATGGCGGCCACGGGGACCTCGGCGGTCGCGATGAGCTCGTTCGTTGCCTCCTTGAGGTACAGAGGCGCGAGGACGCGAAAGGCGCGCGACGCGCCGACGAGCGAGACGGATGTAATGGCCCGCAGGCGCTACGCGTATGCATGTGAGCCTGCTGCCAGAGTATGCATCGTGCTCTACCAGCGCCCAGCTGTCCTTGGGCCAAAAGTCTACCAGGGCCATGAGCGAGCGGCAAGGTTGATGGACGTACATGGCTTGATGAGCACGCCGAGCTCGGTGAGCGGGACGTCTTGGCCGTCGCCGGCCTCGAGGTCTTCGTAGCCGTACTGCTTCATCTGCGCCCGGGGACCCATCGTGTGCGTTCGTTGGATCGTCCAGTTGTGTCATTTTAGCCCGGCGAAAGATAGCGAGCATTGGAATCGAGCATTTTAAAATGCAGGCCATCGTGTGGTGTCGTTCAAGTAGTGGAGGCGATAGCGTTGCCGTTTCTAATCTCGAGCTTGAGTATGCCATGTCTTATTAGCGGTAGTTGTGCACAAGGTACTACGACGTACCTCGACGCGGTGCTAGCGTCCACACGGTTGTGATGAATCTATATTAAATAATATACGATTTGCTCGATTGGGCAAACTCTGTGCGCCTGGCCGATCTGCCCGATCGCAGATCTGTCGACCACACCGCTACACTACACGAGCTTTTAGAAGAGCGTCAACGTCCTTGGCGCGTTCTTTCTGTCCGGACGCTCCACCGCCACTCAAATGCGAGCTGACTGCTCAGTACATCCCCTGTTGGACTGACAGCGAGTTAGATAATCAAATCCACTGCTTCAAACACTGTTTTAGACTCTGTTTTGTATCAACATCGTCGCTTGCTCCGATGCAAGCGATTCTGCGACCTACTAGTACTATATTCAGTACCACAATCGCAGCACCGAGCAGACAATTGTCTGCGCTACTCCGTTGTTGGCTCGCCCAGGGGTAGGCCTTCGGTCTATCCTAGTTTACGCATACGAAACAGCGTCCGACTCGCACGTCGATGCACTTTGAAAAAGGACTTTGTATTTTTACTGGATATTGCAGGCTCGCGACGGCGTCGACTCGACTTGCATCGTCCATGGCCCGCTGTACGACGTCCGTTCGAGGCGAATAAACGGCAGTCGGAAGCGACTCGCAAGGTCGCGGCCCTCCCGCTGCACGAGCGCCATCTCCTCGGGCTCTTCGGTCGCGTCAAACGTGTAGAAGACGCCTCGCAGCTGCTTCCACGAGGCGACGGCGCCCACTTCGCACATGGCGTCGGACTTGGCCATGCTCGCGCAGACGTCGGCGAGCGAGCTCACTTGTGGCTTGCTGGCGTGTGTGAGCACCGACCGCTCCCACTCGCCTCGGCTCTGCGGCGCCGTTGTTTTGGCAACGTACGCGCTGTACGTCGGGTGCAAATAGAGTTTGAGGCCGACGTCCGAAGTGTAGAAGGACCGCGCGGCGCTTGTATCGAGAAGGAGGCCGGTGAGCGCTTTCCGCAGGCTCTCGCCGTACAGCTTGACGCTCGACCCGGCAAAGAAGACCGAGGTGGAGAGCAAGATGGGCTCGGCTTTAACCGCGGTGAGCAGCTTGCTCATGGTCGCTATCGGCTTGGTGCTGAGGAGGTACGCGTCGCGGGGGACGTTGTCCATGGCGCATGTAACGGCTCCGAGCACCAAGTTGCACACTTGGTTCGTGCACCCTGCGACTCGACTCGGCTATTGTTGCATCTCACGCTTTCTACTTGGTACAGTTGTGCTGGTACCTCCATCAGGAGTCATAAACTCGTAGATGTGGCAGGACTGTCGTGCTCTCTCATCACAAAAACATCCAGATCTTAGCGTCATAGAGGTTGAGAGCTTAGGTCCAACCAAGCTGCCTTTCCCTTCTTGCATTGTTGGAAGCCAATACGGCACCTCGATCGTGATTCAAGTTATTACGTGCTGGTGGCGCGGGGCAAAGGTTGTCCACGATGCGTGTCCCACTAGTATGCAAACCGTCGCCGTAACATTATTGCCTTTCTGATGCATTCTGATCAACGTGCATAGCTCGGTTTGGAACAACAGCCTTCAACAGCTAGATCCACCAAGGATAAAATGCATTTATTGACGTCCACGTGGATGCCATTTGGTGGGTGCAGACGCAGCGTTTTGACCTTGTATCATCGACGCTGAATGTTGATTCCTCGAATATGTTGATTCCTCGAATTTGTGTTCCTATTCCATGGGAGGGAATGTAGTCAGCCTCGATATCAACGAGGAAGAAGCTATGGCATCCAACGGCTTCCAGAAGATGCTATTCCTGTCGCGCGACACGGCCATGCACCGTGCCGACTTCTCATCCCTTCGGAGCTCCTCCCACTCCTCCTTCTCGACCGAACAAACGCGTCGTGCTTTGTCCGCCTACACATTTCCAGCACACACATGGTCTAGAACTGCCTTGGTTTACGTCTTCTTCCGCAAACAAACGGTCCTTCGTTCGATCGAGCAATGGACGGCTGGTCTCGGTGGACCCTCTTGGCCATGCAACGTCGCCTCACATCCTTTTGGAATTCTGAACCGTGTTCGAATCCTCGACAACGCGCAATTCTGGCTTTTGATTGGCGGCTCTAATTTTACAGCTGACCAATCACATACCTGGATTGCATTGAGTCAAATCTTGAACGCCTCTGCCATGTACGCCAGTTGTCAACTTGCCTGTCCGACGCATCTTCTTCCTGACAATGAGCCTCAAGCGCACGCTGCTGGCGCTGGCGCCGTACGGGGCGCCCTTGGGTCTCGCCATCATCCTCGGCGTTGGCCTCGGCCTCGGCTTTGCACTCGACGCCAACGCCAACGTGCCCTCGCCGTACAACCGCATCTCGTCGGTCATTGGCTGGATGTACTTTGCGTCCTGGAGCCTGACGTTTTGGCCGCAGATTTTCGTCAACTGGCGCCGGCAGAGCGTCGTGGGCATGGCCATCGACTTTCAGGTCTACAACGTCCCGGGCTTTGTGGGCTACGCGATCTACAATGCATGCTTTTATTGGAACACCAGTGTCCAAGACGACTACAAGGCGCTGCACGGCGGCCACCAAAACAACGTGCAGATCAACGACGTTTTCTTCGCGATTCACGCGCTCGCGGCGACGCTCATCACACTCTACCAGTGCGCAGTGTACGACCGCGGCACCCAAGGCGTCTCGACGACCTGCTGGGTGCTCACCTCCGTCTCGATCGGTGTCTGCGCTGTCTTTTACGCGCTCGTCGTCGTGTTTCCGCACTCGGAGTACTTTACGCTGCTCAACTTTCTCTACTTGCTCAGCTACATCAAGCTCGGCGTGACCTTGATCAAGTACACGCCCCAAGTGTACCTCAACTACACGCGCGAGTCGACGGACGGCTACTCGATCTGGGGCGTGCTCTACGATGTACTCGGCGGCCTACTCTCGATCGGACAGACGCTCATGGACAGCGCGACGACCGACGACTGGAGCGCGATCACGGGCAACCCGGTCAAGTTTGCGCTGGGGCTCGTGGTGGTATTTTACGACCTTGTCTTTATGACGCAGCACTATGTGCTCTATCCGTGCGGTGACGCGGTCGACGAGATGGTGTCGCTCATGAAGCGACATCGCAAAAGCTCGCTCTCGGCCGTCCAAGAGACGACCTTTTTGATCCATGTCTAGACCATTTTGACCATATTATTATCTTATTATTTCCGCAACTACAATTTTTGATTCCTGCTCACAACTAGTTTTGTAGTCAGTGGAGACAAAATTTGTCTACTCGATGGCGCTCGACGATCGTTGGCATGTTCGAGAGTCGTGCTTTGGTTTATTGGGTCCGTTTGGTTGCTTGAGCGTGAACAGTCGTGTTGAGTTCAAGTTCAAGCCATGCACTAGGTGGACGTCGACGGGGTAGACAGCGAGAGTTGATGCGACTCGAGTTGGGAGCGGTTGAGAAGGTACTCGACATTTTGCGTTGCTGACGATAAAGTGGGAGATGCTGCTGCGATTTCAGCGTCAAGACCGTTCAATTCAAAGACAAAAGAGCTGCTGCTCAGTGCGCGTTGGCGTGACGTACTCCTCGACGCCGAGGAATCATGGGGGGAGAGGGGGGCAATGCAAGCTCGGTAGTGAATAGCACCATCTCAAAGGTCGGCGACTAGGAGTCCGAGTGTGCTCTTTGCGGCACGACGGCAAGCCAAAGAAAACGGCGGGCACGATATTTTTACTCGTGTTGGATGGAGCTCTGAGCGAGCGATGCCAACCAAGCCCGAGAAGGCAGCCAAAGCGACTGCCAAGAAGGAGCCCCCCGTCAAAAAAGACGACAAGCTACCGGTATCGCTGCCCAAGATTGGAGCTCCGAAAAGCTCGACCCCCAAAAGTATGGTCCAATGCTACATTATGAATACCATGGTGCGAGTCAGCGTGTAGGCTCGCCAAGCAAGACGTCGTCGACAAGTAGCAAAATGGAGAAGATGCCGAGTCTCGACAAGTCCGAGCTCACACCACGCATTGCGGAAGCCAACGCCGCCACTCCGCCCCCCGACACCACTCCGCCCCCCGACACCACTCCGCCCCCCGACACCACTCCGCCCCCCACGGAACAAGAGACATTAGAAAAGTCGGTCGCTGAAATGGCCTCGGCAGAGAAGGACGCCGCAGAAAAGGAAGCCGCCGAGAAGGAAGCTGCGGAGCGCACCAAGAAGCGCAACGGCAATATCATTCTCAAGTACGAAATGTACTGCGAAGAGTTTCCAATTATTGACGGCTCGACGACGATGGCAGCGATCGACGACGTGTACGCACTCACCTTTGTCATGCCCAACTGCCTCGTGCACCTCTCCACGTACGACCCGCCGACCAAAATCGAGATCGAGTCGCGGGATCCAACCGCCGTCTACGTGCGCGAAGACCCGATTGGGACGTACCAGGACTTAGAGGCCGGTGCAACGTACTACGTGTACGTCGAGCAAGAAGCCGAGCAGCTGGCAAAAGACCAAGCTAAAATGCGCCAAGTCGCCGCGACCATGGATGGTGCGGCGTGGACCGCCCCGTCGACGACTGAAACGTGCAGCTGCGTCAACGGCAACCCGTGCGTCGACGAGTACAACTGCAAAGATTGGCACAACCGGTTTGCTGTCGCAACGACGCACGGCTGGAAAGGGTTTTAGATCCGGTTTGCAAAAAGTACTATAATACGATGCGACCGTCTAATCTTTTGTGCGATATGCTATTCTCCTCAACGCCAACGTCCTTGCATGTTGCCGCTACCAACCGGCATGTTCAAGAAGCAAACAAATCGTTCATGACGTTGCATCTCGATGAAAATACAAACTACATCCAAGCATCGGCCGTCTACTGCGGCACAGCGTTCAAGCTGCCCCCAGGACTCGCGTGGAAACAGCGTACCGTTGACACCGTTGAGCAGGCTCGAAACCGCAATTCAAGAATGGACCCGATGACGACAAATGGCGCCCTCGACGGTATCCGCTGCGATCACCGCCTCGTCCTTGACGCGGAGCCTACGTAGCATTCGCAACCGGTCCACAGACCCAAGCCGCCTTTGACGCGAGCCCGCAGCTTGGCGCTGTTGTCGACCAAATGCGGTCGACGGGTCAACTGCGTCACGACTGGGCGCTCGTGCGCACGCTGCTTGTCTACAAGCTGCGATCGGCGCTCGCGCAGTACAGTACATTTTCGATTCCAAAGGAGGTCGAGGATCAGAAAGCCCTTGTCTTGACCAAGATGGAGACCCAAGAGCGGTACCTCACCATCCCCCAAAACACCCCAAAACCGACCGAGCAACCGAGGACGTAGGGCGCCCTTCACGCTGCAGCGGCTCACGGAAGTGCTCCTAGCACCTCTGACGTACTATAAACAACTCCACAAGTTCCTCAACGCTGTCGAAAAGGTAGCACCGTGCGTCGCACTCTCGGGGCTCAAATCAATCTCGTGTGTAGCTCCTCTTTGTGAGCTCGACCGTCGATCAGCTCACAGCAGACCCGCCGTCCGACTTCAAGGCCTGAGACGCATTCGTCACGCTTGAAGAAGTAGACACAGTAGATACCTACCCCCAATGAACCGCTACATGAGAGGTCGTCGGTTGCATGAGTTTGTCGTGCAATTTTACGATCTGGCAGCCAACTCTACCCCCATATTCGCTGGAAACAAAGGCCCCACTCTACGAGCAACCCTCGGACGCGATCTGCGGCGTCAGATGATTGTGCATCAAGCTTTCGACGCACAGATCGTCGTCGATCTCGAGACTACAAGCAAGAACCCAGGACGATCTTGTCTATGCAAGCGCAAAGCCTTACGAACCTTACTTGTGCAGCTGGTACTGGCCTCCGACATACTCGAGCCGGCCGCGGGCGACGAGCGCCCGCAGAATCGCTGCAAGTTCGCCCGTTGTCTTGTCATCTACCATCTCAAAGTGAAGAAGGGTCGATCATAAGACGCAACGTACAGGGCGTCGGGCCACTCCGGGCAAATGTTGTGAGCATCGTATGGATACGCGGGAGCGGCAACGACTCAAAGTTGGAGAGCATGCCAATGATGTACGATTGCAGGACCTACATGAGCGACAGAATTACGCGTGTCACTCGACACGCCACGTACCTCGATCTCTTGCTCGAGCTGCAAGTCGGACGAGACCGCCGACTCGATCGGGTCCTCGTCGACGGCCGGTGCCGACGTTGCACGCGGCGTAAAGGTTGTACTCTGGAGCGTCAGCACAGCACCGACCAGTGTCAACACACTGTGATGCACCCAGAAGCGCGCATGTCGACGCAGCGCCGCTTCGTCCAACTCCATCGCATCGGCCAGGTCCGACATGGTCCATGACTCTATCCCAAACCCTTGTCAAGTCGGGTGGGACTAGAAGATGCCATCTACCTTGCGTCTCAAAATGCAGGAGAATGGAAGCTTGGATGGACGAGCACGTGAAGGGGGCGTGATGTCCGTTGAGCTCTAGCTCCAACTAACAAATATCCTAATGTCAATGGATGGAAACAAAGACGTCGTACGTCGACCGAGCCAAGCGATGGCATCCATTCGAGCGTACGAGGGTTCTTGAGGACGTGGTAGCTAGCTCTGTACGCCTCGATCGCGTCCGACAGTTGCTTGTGGAGAACAACGTCCTCTGCCTAGGTGGAGAGATGAAGAGCGATGACAACATGACAATATTGCGTTTGGACCTGGAACGGCGGCCAAAAGTGCTGCGACACGATCGTAGCGTCCACGATCGACGCTACGTTGGCCTGGACGCGCTTGCTCTCTTCCACGTCCTTGACCATGATATCGCACGGCTGCAAGCTCTCGTCGCCAAAGCGCAACTTGAGGAGCTCCAGCGTGCGCAGCTAGCGACAAGGTTCTCCCCCAATCGGCAATAGACAAAGTGTACATCGCGGTCTGTGTTGTAGTCGCGGTTCACGAGCAGTCGGTCTGCGAGCATGAGACGGTATTCGTTCACAAACAGTTCTTTCGAGCCGTAAATATTGACCTAGACCACTTGTCAAACCCAACCATTTCGATCCCAGCGCCCACCAGAATGCTGAGAATGTCGTCGTGGGCGCGGGACCGCGCGGTTTTCTTTGGGTCGGCTTCGATCGGGTCGGGCTGCCACGTCTCAGGATCCCCTTCCTACTCAAACGCGCAGGCTATGAGCAACATACCAAGGCCATCCGAACCGACTTCGTCGTCGTCGCTCTCGGCGGTCGTATCGACCAAGCCGTCGCGCCGCAGCTCCTCAAAGAGATCGCCATGTTCATCGTCGGTCAAGCTGGCGACGATGCACCGAATCGTATCCTTGCGCTTCTGAAGGTACTAGTACACAGAATCGCTCGCATCCAGTGTTTTTTCCAGTGGATACCTCGTCAATCAGGCCGCTCACGCCTTCAAGAAGAACACCCCGCTGATCCAAGATGCGGAACGTCTAGATACAGCGAGTCGTCGGCGTCATTCATCGAGAGGCAAGGACGACCTTGATCATACGCGTGTACAGGACGATAATGGCGCTCGTGGCTACACCGGGCTGGAGCAAGCGGCTGGTGATGGCTCGGCGAAATACGGCAAGGAGGTCGCGCTGCTGCTGCGTGATCGCGATCGCATTGGTGAGGTCGGCGATCGCCGGTAGACTCTCTGGGAAGGCTCTGACCATGCTAAAGAGCTCGTTTATGCGAAGGCGGCCAAAGGCCGTGTAGGTATGGAGGCGCAGTACGTCCCGCGGCGACGTGCTGCGACCGACGAGAAGCGTCTCGGCGTACGGCAAGAGCGTCGTCTCGACCCATATCAGCATCGTCTCGAGCAGCGGGACTTCGTACTCGGCCCGACACGTCGATTCGACGCGCGTGTCGATCTACGAGACCAGCGTTACTCTGGAGCGCGACGAGGACGAATACTTGGTGCAAGAAGACGTGCAGGAGCGACGGCTGCGTGAGCTGGAGCCACTCGAGGTACTGCAGCTGGTCGCGCAGGAGGGCCATCGTCATGCCATGCGCAGCGTCGCGTGATGCAATGAGCGCTGTGCCCAGCGCTTCCAACGCCCGCATAAAGACCTACGTGACGAGGATCGCGGCGGCAGACGGAGCATGCACCTCGTACCGTGGCTTGCTCGGCGTCGTGGAAGAGGATCGCGCGAAGGTGGGCTTTGAGGAGCGAGATGATCGGGCGCGCGTGGATCGTCGTCGCCTGGAGGAACGCTGCGACCTCTTCGAGGTTCTGGATCGTCTGGACCGCGTAGGCCAGCGCCGGCGGGACGGCGTCGGCGTCGCCCGCAGCGACGAGCGCCCAGAACTGGCCGGCCGAGTGGTCTCGGAAGATCTGCGTTTGGCACTCGACCAACATGCGCTGGCTCTGGAACGGGTAGGCCGCGAGGCCAGCGAGGGATGCAAGCGAGGCCATTCCGGATCCAAAACCAGTGGGTTTTAATACGCACCTAGCACGTTTTTGGATAAACGTCACGGTTTTATTCGGTCTTTTGATTTACGCATCGGCGTTATTGCGTTTTTCCATTAAAACCTGCGGTAAACGTAAAACGTCCACACGTACCAGGTGCAAGTTGTTGCGCCAGAGCGACTGGGCGGCAATGGACCCGGACGGTGCAACTCTGTTTTCAATTCTGTGCTTCAACGTGTATACGCGTTTGCGTGCGAATGGCTATCGAGGTTTGTCGCCCTGTCTCCTGTTGCCAGGTTCCAGGTTCCGGACCGCCCGGGTCGCCTTGGCGCAGGTTAGAGACCGCTATACTCGGTCGACTGGCTCTGTGATCCTCTTGCAGCACCCGTCGCTCGTCCTGTGGTATGTCCTAGTAGCCCAGTATACCCGTACATTTGAGTCCATCCATCCATGTCACATCTCGTGTGCCGATGACGTGGCACGATGCGCGGGCGGGAATCGCGTGGTCAGAAAGGACGTAACCGTCGTAGCGTCTAGAATCACCGCACTCGACGTGCGTGAAACCGCAGCGACCATAGCGAGGCGGCGATGGCCAGTCCGTGGATCTGGCGGAGTGACGCCGCCGATGCAGACGTAAGCGATTGGCTCGACGCGGTTGTCGACGAGCTGCGCCCGCACCAGCGCGACGAGCTGCAGCGCATCATGACGCACCAACCAGCCTCGACGCGCCTCAAAGTATGGGCTTTGGTTGGCTCTAAAGTCGACGCGAGTGGGTACCTCCACGATGTTTTGCGCGTGCACCACTACCTAGCGCTGCACATGTCGTCGTCGTCCACCGAGTACGCGACGCTGCTCGCGCTCTACGCCAGCTTTGGCGACGACGACGACCGCCGCAGCATGGAGTCTCTCTTGACCGAAACGCTGCACTTGAGCTTGATGGGGCGGGTTCTATCGCGCCACTCGCTGGCTAAGCAGCGCGTTTTGCTCACCTTTATGCACGACGCGTTCGCGTGGCGTCCGTTTCTCGACTGGCTCGGCGCCGACCCCCGAGTCGAGCACGCAGTGCGCACGTACCTCGTGTCGTTGCCGGACGACGATCTCTTCTCGCTCTGGCTGCGGATCCTCGTGCATCTCGCACCCAGCGATCGGCTGCCGTGGGTCGAGCTCACGTATGCCTTTGTCGACGGCGAGACTGTGCTAAGCATAGCGCATGTGTTCCAAGGCCACTGCGCGCTGCCGTCGCTCCTCGTCAATCGGCTCGTGGCACTGACGCCGCTTGCGCTCGATGCCTTTCTTACGCTGCTTGTCGTAGTTTCGGTCGAGGCGGCGGG